GTACTCTCAAAAGTTCGAGGTGTGATTTCTTCCAGATTTATTTCAAAATGAGTAACAAACCTTTGGGTTTGTAAGGCATTGGTGAATTTGAGATAAACTAAGCAAGCCACCGTGTTAAAGTGGAGGGTAAAACACTCCCCTTGTCCTCTGTGCATCATTAGGAAATCAGTCAGGGGGAGACCAGGCAACCAATCGTCCGCCTGTCCTTCTCCCACCCAAGTCCTACCCAGGCCGTGCCTGCTAGCTTCTGAAATCAGATGGGCGCATTCAGGGTGGTCTGGCCTCACATCTGCCACTTTGGACACATCGGGTGTCATTTCAGTGATGACTGTCAATCACAGTAGGACAGGACATCCGTGACAACTCTGTCAGAGTTTAGAGTGTGTGTACGTGAATTCTAGACAGTCGGGCTGCTTTCGGGGAAGGGTGCAAACATCGAGTTTCATAACCAGCTTCAGTTTCTTAAATGAGTTGAGCTTAACTCCAATGAATTTCAATGCCTTGAAGGCATAATTGTAGGCTTTGTAAATAAGGAACTGATTGAATTTGGTTCTTAAGAAGGCCTTTTACATATTAGACTCTCCTGATTAGAACAGGAGACAGTCTGTTGTCCTGGTAGGCATTCTGGAAACAAAATGACTGGCAGGGACAGAGATGGTCACTGGTGCATCCTGTCATCAGCATTCAGCCCTCCGTCACCCTAGGTAACAGCAGTGACACTCCCGTCCTAGCCCAGTGAGTGAGTTAGGATCTGGCCATTACTTGATAAAGCAAACCTGAGGGTTTCATGTATGTGGTAGTGGGGGAGGGAAGGCGAGAACCCCAAAGGGGAGCGTAAGGCTGGGGGAGGGGCGTCGCCAGACGCCCTAGAGGAGCAGGTCCATTTTCCCGACGATAACCTCCCTCAGCCACCGAGTCCCCTGTGGAACGGCTCCTTCGGTCACAGCACAGAAGCACAGAGGGGCCTCGTGCCTGAGCAGACAGCTGTCCTCTCCGGCTCCCACAGGGGAGAGAGGCTCAGTTGGACGCTCAGCGAGGCTGGCACTCCTAGCACCACCCAGTCTACCCTGGTCAGTGGATGGTACCATCCGCCCGTGCGAACACTGCCAAGGTGGGGCCCGCCAGCCAGCCCCCTGCCTGCTTCCAATCAGGTTAGGCTGACATGCAGTGGCCACAGGCGGTCGGAGCTGCAAATCACCGAGAAATAGACCCGTTTTGCCTTTTTATTAAGGATCCACATAGAGGAAATCGAAAGGCAGTATGAACAGTGGTTAACAGCACAGACTTTGGGTCCCACAGATTTAGGTTTGGATCCTGCCCATGTGCCTGGGGCTGATGGCTTAACCTCTCCGCAGGACATCTGTAACAGGGGACTGAACGCGGATTTCACAGCTTGTCACTAGATGAGATGAAAGCACTCAGTGCGTGTGCGCAGCGAGAACACTGAACGCGGCCTAGCATTTATCACCCTATCCGTAACCCGCGCAAAGCTAGCTTGTCTGGATGGGAAGTTTCCACACAGGATTCTCAGTAGGGCTGGGTTCGGCTTCCCTCCCCCATTCTCTTTCCATTCCTTCCTTCCTTCCCTGTTCTTTCGGCCTACAATTAGCCTTTGTAGGTACAGAAATCAAAGTGTTACATTCTGTTTTAACTAAAAGTATCTATTCCAAGAAACCCAGCCAGAAGTGGTCAATGCAGGCTCATTGTTTTAAAAAATGTGAATCCAGGAGTTCCCACTAGATCGGGAAGCAGCAAGAGGCTGCAGAAGGCAAATGCTGTCCAGAAGCGGGAAAGAGGCCCTGCCTGACTCACGGTTGCCCTGACAACAGTAGGGCCTGGAGGCCTCTGTCCCTGATCCCTTAATCTGAGTAGCTGCCACAACAGGGCCTCAGGAAAGGTCTCCCACAGACACCTGGCTAGTCAATGCTACACTAAAGGAAAAGACTGACGGGACAGGACACAGAAGTGGCTCCTGCCCGGGCCCCGGCGTGGCCACAGCTGCAAAGGCTCAGGTTGGAGAATCAGGCTGCAAAGTCTCCGGCAGGTTGTGGGGAGTCAGGGCAGCGGCCAGTCTTCTAACCCTTCTACGGCTCCCTGGGTGCTCGGCACACAGGGGCGCTGCATAAACACCGGGGGGCTGCGCAGAAGGCACCAGACCTGCACCCTGCTCTCTCACCAGCTGCGTGAGTCCCCCCACCGTGCAGTGCAGGACGACAGCGCTAGGCCCAGGGCGTCTCTGGTTCTAAAATTCAGGTACTCGGTCGCTCTGTCTGTCAGGCTGACAGACTTCCATTTTAGGCTGTGTTCTCTCGACGTGCCCCGTATCCCCCGGTATGATCTGACGCAGAAGAACCTGAGAGCAGATGGAGTTCTCTGCAACAGCCGTAGGCATTTCTTTCTCAACACCCATTTAGGTCCCAGGGAAGGAACATGGGCTGTGGAGTCAGAAGGACAGGAGTTCGAGTCCTGGCTCTACTGTTTGGTTGCTGTGTGCCTTTGGGCCTACAGAACCTCTCTGAGGCTCCAGCTGGTCACCTGGGTAGACTAACACAAACCTCGCAGCTCTGAGGCACTGAGTATGGTCTCGGAACGCAAGCAGCTATCTGGAAACGGCAGTTACTCCTGGCACTGATTCCATGGGGACAACGGTAACTGGCCACTTAGGAGTTTGAGAGGCCGAGGTGAAGGTATTCCCAGACAGGGTACCCAGGCGAGAACAGCAGCAAAACTGTGAGGTGAGCACTAACCGCTGAGGTGCGTTTCAGCCCGTCCACTCACTGCCTGTGTGGTCTGACTTGAACTTCCTCACACAGAAACCATTTCCCGCTCCTGCCAGTAGGAAAAGGCCCTCAGAGAGTCATTCTTCTTGTCACAGCACTCCCACCTGCCCACCTGAACTTCTGTTCTCACTCAGTTAAGCCACTATTAGCCTTAAGCTAGTAATGAAATTAGCAGACTTTCATGGAGACCTTCCTATGGGCCAAAGGTGTTCAGAGAAGTTAATTCACTTGTTCAAAGTCACACACTATGAAGGGGCAAGGTCATAAGTTTAAATCCGTATCTCTTTGACCCCAGAGTCTGTCAGACTTCAGTGACTGCCATCTGGTGGGTGATGGTCTCAGCCACTAGCTAAAAGGACAGCAGAAAAAAGTGAGCCTCAGGCTGGGAGCAGGCCATCAGACCAAGGAGGGGTGGTTTGGGAGCATAGGGTGCCAGGCATCTGGGAGGAAAGAGGCAGAAAAAGGGAGCTCAAGCCAGGCAAGTGGAGCGAGCAGCCGACATTCCGACAGTCCAGTGCCACGTGAAAACTGCCCGTCTAACCCTTTTCAAACCAGGTCTCCTGGGCAAGCAAGGCTCCTAAGTACCATTCCTGCTGGCCCCCAGCGGTGTTGCTGACAGGCCCTGAGAGCAGCATGTAACACTAACTGCACTAACTGGCCCGAACGTCTCCACGCTGTGCGAACTAGTGCAAATCCCACGACTGGGGAAGATTTTGAGCAAGCCTCTGCCAACATCTCTTGGATGTCCCAGAGCACCACCCGTGTCATCCCCTCCGGCTCTGTGCACAGCCTGCCCTTCGTGACCTTCCTGGTAGCACTCTGGCTCTGACGGCATCAGGGCCCTTTCTCTGTCACATGGAGCCTCCTAGCATTCACCTGCATCGTGTTTCTCCTGCCCCAGTCTTCAACCATTTCTCATACAAGGTCAAATTCAAACCCCATGGCCGTGGAGCACGAAATCCAAGGCCTCAGCACCCTTCTGGACCCCGCTTTTCTGCACGAGCCCTTTCTCCGATCCAGCAGGCTTCCTCAACCACTGCCCCCTCATCACCTCGGACCCCACTTTCCACACTGTTGCTTAGAAGAACAGCCCCACAGAGAAAGCCCTGGTTCTTCCCTCTCTTCGGCGCGGACCCTGCGCACCCAGCGAGACGGCTGAGGCTCCTCCTCCTCCAGATGCTGCCAGCTGCTCCAGGCTCCCTCCTTCTCCACCGGCAGTGCCTTCATCCGCCAGCCATTCGGCACTTAGCACTCACCGGACACGCGTGTCATGACCTGGACCAGTGTCCCTGTGTCGGCTCTCCAGCTGGGCCTGGAGCACAGCAGGCCGGCCAGGCCTCTGCTCCTTCCTCCGGTGGCTCTCTGGACGTCCTACCGTCACCTGGCAAGTTCCGTGGAAACAGAGGAGCAACAGCTTCCTGCAGCTCAGCTGACGCACCTTTCACAAAAGAGGGGAGGGGCCTGATGGTCCCTCCAAAGTAAACGGTGTGCCACCTTCCTCCAGCCCCTTTCAGTCTGCGGGCCCCTGCCTTCCTCTCCAAGCCCATCCGCGGCTCTGTCTAGCTCCAGCACCTCTCAGGCCCGCCGGGCACTCTGCTGACCTCTGAACGGTCCCTTCCAATGGCCCTCACTGCCCGCTCTCTGGGCCGCTGCCACACCCCGGGTGAGCCAACAGCCCTTGGGCACTGAGAGACATCTGCAGTTTCTGTAGGCCTGGCTGGAGAGTGGCCAACACCCAGCGATTCCAGGGCACGTTCACGCCTTCCACAGATCTAAAGAGAAACGGTGCAACCTTCCAATAAACCTTCGGTGGCTCCCCCAAAGAGCGGCCCCAGCGGCCTCACACCTCTTCCCTCGGGCCATACCCGCATCAGCCGCTCTCCCTCCACGGTTCTGGCGGCCTCGCTGGCCCCAGGGCTCCCTCGAGGGTCTGCAGCCGGGACTCGCTCCCTTCCGGAGCCTCGCTCGCCACCTGTCTCTCCTTCCCAGCGCGCTCCACGCCCCCCCAGCCGGTCCTGCGAGCGGAGCTCCGTCCCCCCTCAGCCGCAAACAAGAACGGCAAACAGGAAACGCTCGTCTTTTAAAAATCACTCTATTATTATCAAAGAGAACCACAGTATCCAAAAGGGAATTATAAAGTTCTACCCCGACTCGTGGCCGTGCGTCGCGCCCGCCGCTGGCTCTCCTCGCCGCCCCGGCGGCCGCGCCCGGCCGCGCCCCTCACTCGCCCGCGTGGGTCCGCAGGTGGTACTTGAGCGACTGCTTGTAGCGGAAGCACTTGGCGCAGTGCGCACACGGGTAGGGCCGCTCGCCCGTGTGCGCGCGCTGGTGCTCCAGCAGGTGGTGCTTCTGCGTGAAGCGCTTGCCGCACTCGGCGCAGTGGTAGGGCCGCTCGCCCGTGTGGATGCGCCGGTGCTCCAGCAGGTGGTGCTTGCGGATGAAGCTCTTGCCGCACTCGGGGCAGGCGTGCGGACGCTCGCGCGAGTGCACGCGGCAGTGGTTGGTGAGCTTGGACTTCTCGCTGAAGCTCTTCTCGCACTCGGGGCACTTGAAGGGCCGCTCGCCCGTGTGCGTCCGCTGGTGGCGCAGCAGGTGCGACGGCCGGCTGAAGCTCTTGCCGCACAGGCTGCAGATGAAGGAGACCTCGTGCTTGCCGGCGTGCACGCGCTGGTGGATGACCAGGCTGATGTGCAGGCGGAAGCTCTTCTTGCACTCGGGGCACGTGTAGGGCCGCTCGCCCGTGTGTGTGATCTGGTGCTTGGTCAGGCTGGACTTGTGGCTGAAGCTGCTGTCGCACTCGGGGCACTGGTAGGGCTTGGAGCCGGAGCCGCTGCCGCTGCTGCCACCGCCCGTGCCCGGCGACTTGGGGCGCGCCTTGAGGGCATGCTTGGGGTGTAGGCCAGGTGCGCGCTCGGGCGACGGCGGCGCGCGCGG